TACAAACATGCTGCTACAGTTTCCTTTTTGTCCACTGTCTTATTTTGCCACTTAGTTATAATTATTTGTTGAGGTGGAACATGTTTCATGAATTGAACCTGGACTTGGGTGGGTAAATTTTGTGTTCCTAGGAACCATTTGAATTGCAAGGACAGTAGTTTATATATATTTGGCCATTAAGATTATGTTGAACCTGCAACCTTTTGGCTTGTAGCATAGTGCTTCAACCAACTACACTATCACGTGCCCGCCTTACACATGTGTAGGCCTACAATATGTAATCCTGACTGGCATTTAGCATTTGGAAATTAAACTTGATAACCTTGACATCAAAGAAGGTGGGCCAGCAAAGCCACAGCACGCCACACATGATTGTTACTGACATAATGACTATATGGTTTGTGTGACACATTGATTTATTCTAGAAGGTTTCATGAGTTAATACTTCTGTACATCCTCTTTATGTGCTTAGAGCTAGTGTGAATGGATTATGTGATTATGTATCTGTGTGTGTGCACGCACAAAACCATATCTTGTATACACTGTGTCATCAGTATTCAAAACAATACACCAAAATCTATTAGATGTTATATCTTCAGTGACAAATATTGTTGGGTACTAGGTGTCCAATTTATCCTTACACCAGTTTTCTCAGCTGGTATGGCGATTCTTTTTGTCTAGGCAGACAGCGGTAGATGATCATTCACAGCCTTTTTTTTCTGTAATTTAACTTACCTTATTACATACATATGCTTTGCACTGTGAAAATATATTTGTAGACATGCTGAAGCCTGTGTATGGGTATAGCAAAAATTTTGTGTCTTGAAATTCTTCCAAAGAGTGTTTGTTGGTCACATACATTCTTTCTCTCAGTGTGCCCCATAAAGAAGTCACAAGGACTTAAATCAGTAATTGCACAGGCCACAATCCTCAACTTACAACTTATTTACTGGAGACATAAGCTAATGAATCGGTAGAATTGTTTGCAGTGTGTGATATAGCATTATCTTGCATAAAGTGCCCATACAATGTTTCTTCAGCAGTCAGTTGACTGAAGAAGGGTGACAGTCAGTTCAACGTGTAATTTATCATTTGCACACTATTTGCACCCAAAATTCAAAGTTTTAAATTGTGCACTGGCACTTTGTCAACAGCATGATGTTTGCTTGTGCTCCAATATGTTACGGTGTTTCTGTAACCACTTAGATGAATCACATGTCAGCATAAAATTTATGTTGTGGGTCAAGACGCACATTGAATCCTGATTCCTGAGACCACCTATGGTACTGAATTTTTGCTTTCCAATCTGGAAGCAAAAGGCTGTGTATGAATGTAGTTTTATTAGGCTTTAACTTTGGCGCCTCTCTACCAATATGAGAGATTTTTCACCAGCCCAAACTGAAGAGCCAAAAGACAGTGACGTCTTTGGGCTTGCTTCTGATTAAGTACCGCCATCCCAAGTTTTTCTTCAGTTAGTACATCTGTTTCAAGAATTCGTTTTGTCCTGCACTGATCCTGTAGAACACAGTTACAGTGTTGTCATTCACTGCTATACATGACAATATATGGCCAGGGTACTTCCTTTGAAGCTTTCTACAAAGAATGCTGTAAAAAGGTATTGTATATGAATAATTTCTGTTTGACACTATATTTCATTTTTGAACACTATACAACACTGTAAACAGTTTTTGTTTATACTGAAGACAACTAATCATACTAAGTGTCAGTGCTGTTGAGATGAGCAAGTAAGCAGCAGGTGACAGAGCAACTGAATGGTGACCAGCAATGGGCAGGCATCACTCACTCACTCATGGAGGCGAGCCCTTCTTGAGAAACCGCCAATTGTGCAGCTACTCTAGAATTTCCCAGCATTTTGTGGAACCCAAAAGTTCATTACTTTGTTCACAAGAGCCCTCCATTCATCCCTATCCTGAGCTAGATCGACACATTTTAATATTGTCCACCCACCCTATGCCTTCCCAGTGGTCTCTTTCCTTCTGGCTTTCCCACAAGTATCCTATATGCATTCCTCTTCCCCATTCGTGCTACATGCCCTGCCCACCTCATCCTCCTTGACTTGGTCATTCTGATTATGAGTATGAGGGGTGAGCCATAAAACTGGCCCTCGCACTGTGACCATTCTGATTATGCTTGGAGAAGAGTACAAGTTACGAAGCTCCTCAACACCCTGTTCTCAAACACCCTCAGTGTATGTTCCTCCCTTGGGAAAAATTTCTAATTGGCTGGTCTAAGGATAAGTTTCCTGATCACAGTGGTTGCACTGTCCCAGGCAGGAACTGTTTCACCTGCTCAAAAACTGGGATCATTTGTTCGGATCCCATTTGAGGCATGGATGCCAGTGTGCATTTATTCTGTTTGTGCTTTCCTGTGTGTGCAGGTAGCACCCTTGTGATGGGGCTGATCCCCTGTCCAAGAAGTCCTGCTGACTGTAAAAGATCAAGAAACTGAAAAAGCGCCCAAGGTCAAACAAAAGGGTTGTAGAGCCATAGATGGATAGATAAAAGGATAAATGTGATTCTCATTATGTTTATGGTTTGGTATGCCCACCCATTCATAGTACAACTGCTATTTTAGGTTCTCACAATGGTGTCTATGAATGGTATTATCCGACTTGTAATGCCATATAGTTCTGTGGTAGTTTACCCATGTTTCATTAAAATGTCAATGAACTTTTTCCAAAATACATGGCACTACAACCCAGGAAATGGTACTCTTCACCATAATTTTCCATTCAGATACACTTTTATAAGTTAGCTACATTTTGAATCTCATTCTCCTTACTTAATTTGGTCCATATGTTAATAACACAAATGGCGCAGCGCATAGAGCTACTTAAAGTGTTTGTACTGGTATCTTGTCTTCTTCAGCATGTAACACATCTCCAATATGAATTTTACTTTGAAGTAGGGATGTAGGATGTAGTGTAGGATNCTTCTTCAGCATGTAACACATCTCCAATATGAATTTTACTTTGAAGCTGTTGACACAGTGTAGGATGTGCATGGACAGACTTTGATGTTCTCCCTGATGCCCTTTAATCTGTTTGTGATATTTCAAGATCAAGTTTTCCACAAGTTTCAGTTTGAATTCCATCAGGAAATGCTATGTCTTTTTGTGAATGTGTAAAAGATAAGCAGCAATTGGGCTGTCATATCTGCCAGTCACGTGGTGAATGCATGCTATTATTTTATAGCCCTTTCCTTGTGCTGCCATTACCTTACCAAGCAAGCATAAATGGTGAGAGTCATGCTCATCTGTGAATTGTAAGATTACTTTGGCCTTGGTGATGTGGCCTCGGATCTTACGTGGAACCATTTTGTTGTCATGGGACAGGACATACATTTCTTTCCACTTCACTATTGTAAGTTTGTCTTTGTAGACTGACATATTCTCTTTTTTTATATATTATTTTGCCTTCTTTATTTTTGACAGGAACTCCCTGTATTAAGGCAAGGCTCCCATATCATTGTTCTGCTTACTACATAGTTTATCATAGAGATGGTCCTTTTTTATGGAGTCGTCATTATTGTTTTCCTATCTGATGGAGATAAATTCCACATAATGAGATGTTGCTTCAAACAATTCTAATGATTTTATACCAAATCTAGCACTTTCCATGTTATGTGGCTCATACATATTTGTCCAATGACATGTCAGAGACTTTAGGTTACACATATTTTCAAGTTGAAGTTTGGGTGGTGCAGTTGGTTTCACTGTCTTCTGTCTTCTGAAAATGTAGCTGGCTTAATAACCTTCATTACGAACAAGAAGAAGAAACCTGAATAGAAGGCAAAACCTCTTAGTAGGTGTTTCCAGTAGTTGGCTTTCAGAAAAATAGCATAACTGATTCTTGAAAAGTCCTCATAAGAAAAAGGAAGCTAGTAGCTTCATTTTCCACCCATGTTTGTGTTAGTTCACTAGTTGGCTGTAGACCTTAATTCTAGGTTAGGCATAATTTATAATTTTTTGGGGGCCTACCAGTCTGTTTCTCTGCATATTAATTGGGCAGTTTCTGTAGTAATAATCAGAATATTCCGTTAGGCTTTTGGAATCTTTTGAATCAAAATTTAAGCTAGGCTTGCCACTAGGTGGAAAATGTTGCTGAGCACCTAACTTTGTCTGTGTACCATGTGGCATGTAACTGTCAGCCCTGACATCATCAGAGCTGACACTTTGTCAGTGCCTTGACAAAATATTCACATCCATCAATATCTCCTCCAACATTTACAAATATCAGTACACTAATTATCTTGCACTAGTTCACATTACTACTTCACACACATACATCCTTCTGCTGGTTCCTGACCCATCTAACATGATTGCCAAAACTATTTTATCCTTCCTTTTATTCATTATTTTTCTGTGCTTATCTCTAACCTCCTTTCTCACATATGTTTTCAGCATGCCTTGGATTTCTGACTTGTAATCATTCCTCTCTTCTTCCCTCCATATTAACAAAACAATTCCCTTACCCCCACTCTTCTGTTTCTTTGTCTATTTCTTATGTTCATCTCCTGTTGTCATTCATCATGCCATGTCACAGCAATGGCATCAGATAGGTGGGGTTTCCTTGTATCCAGCAATGAAGGGCATTTAGCTTTCCCCATGTGAGATTGGAGTGGGTTTTTTTATATGTAGATTATAAATTTGATGTGTACCATTTGTTATGCTTAACAGCTTTGAGATAATAGGAATATATTCTAATAGAAATTAAGTTGATAAATAGATAATGGGGTCATCCAGTTACTGTCAGTTCACAGATCCTACAAGGTAGCATGTGGAGTCTAAGTTCCTTCCAGAATTTCCAATTAATTTTGGTTTGGTTTGATTTGATTTGGTTTGTTTAGAGTTGTCAGTTAAAATAATGTGTACAGATATTCCACTTTAAATTGAATAATTAACTGAATGACACACCATGCAGATATACTGGCTTCTAACTTATGTTTCCCACTGCAGACCTAACAGAGGACTCATGGATATAAGATATCATGGAATTTATTCTGTACTGTTACCAAAATGTACAAGAGTTACAGATGTTAAAACTTTGTGGAAGTATTGCTGTCAAGTTTCAGGATTTGGCATAAATTCTTATTAATTTTTTTTTTTAAATTGAGTTGAGTGTTATTGATTCTTGAAGTGTTAGCAACTCTGTATTTTAATACTGACAAAGCAGCCATATGAATGTTGTTGTTTTCTAAGAGACTTGATAGAGAACACAAATATGTGAAATATACTCCATACTCTGGCAAATACATACAGTTACCACAGCTATTAAAATGATGTACAAGAATCGAAATAAAATTTTTGGAAGTGATACATCCTGGTGCAATCTTCTCTATTTATTTACATGAGTAAACTGTATTTTTTTTTTTAATTTGGGTGTTGTTCCTTCTTTAAAATTTAGCTACTATATATTGTGATATGGACAACAAAAGCAGCAATCTGCTAGGCAAAGAATGGGCGCTTCTGCTGTCTCCTAAAATATGCATACCACATTCAAACAAAGACAAATATGTAACTTCAATACAAATAGTATTATTCTTAACAATATATGTGTGAAGAATAAAGAGTAAAACCCACACTTAGATATTGATAAGTAAGTATAAGAAAGTGAAGTAACCAGAAGCAGAGAGAATGCCAATAGCTGGTAACAAACTGGTAGCTACTGATGTGCTGTTGGAATGCTTTTGCACTTGTTTATGTTCATTCTCCAGTTGTTCTATTGTGGGTGAGGGCGATACTTTTCTGTGTGAAAATTGTAACACTTCAGATTGTTCATGTGCTATAAATATTCCATTAGCAGAGTTTTCAGCAGTATATACTGTTTTCATAATACCAATGAGCCATTCAATTTCATCCATCAGTGGTATTGTCAAATTTGCAGACTTGGCTACCTTTAGTCCTGAAAGAGAGACATGCCATTTCCATTAATACTGTGTACTGTATCCATGGTTGCCAGTGTCATAAGTAAAGTAAAAGTAAAGGTATCCCTGTAACAGACCGTGGAGGCCCATAGGGTTGTCAGATGTTGAGGTTCCCACATTTTCTAGACAATCGGCTCATAGATGGCGATAGGGTTGTCAGCCCTATGTGCCGCCTGCCCTTTACCCCCAAGAATATTCCTGGTACTCATTTTTGTTAGAGGCTGAGTCGACCCCATGGCCATAGTGTGGCTGGAAGGATTAGGTCAATTGAAAAAATCCAATGACCTCGTCAGGACTTGACCTTCCAGCTTGTAGCATAGTGCCTCAACCAACTATGCTACTGTGTGACCCCATTGCCAGTGTCATACAAGAAGTTTCTGATCTTTTTTCTGACCCAAGTGCTGCAGCCTGTTCAGAAGCTTCTGTAAATTCATAAGAAGACTGGTATGGGAGTACTTCATAACAGAGTACACAAAACTGGAAAGCTGTGTTGCTGAACTGTGCAACGATTGTTTTGAAATTCTCAGGGCAAAGAGATCAGTTGGAAGACTACACATACAGAAATGTCATGACTCCTGTGGTAGTTTCATTCTCAAGAGTGGCTATATAACATGAAAATTTTGTTCCTCCTTTGGTACAACTGCCTTTAATTTTCATTGGAAAGTATGTAATTAAATTAACTGCTAGGGACCCACTCAACCTCCTATTTAATGGGTACTGGGGACTCTCCCTGGGGGTAAAGCAACAAGGGAGTGGAACTGATCACTGACCTCCATCTATTGCTGAGGTCAAGAAAGGTGGAGCTACACCTCCACTCCCCTATATGTCTTCATGCCATAGTGCTTAACTGCCTTTATGTTTTCATATGTTATAGCCATTTATGAGTTTTAATTATTTTTTTGTCAAATAGTTCTATCATTTTAAACTCACTTAAAATTACATTAATCTGAAAATTATGTATATCAGAGGGCATCTCTGGTTTATGTTGGTCTTTTTTCTGTTTAACTTTTTTGATCAGATGGACAACTGTCCTCAGTTCCAACAGTTGTCTATACTCGTACCATGAAAGTAGGCACATAAATGAAAATTTCATATATCCACTACTTAATTTTAATTTTAGTTTAACGTTATACACTTTGACATTACATGTTTCGGCCCAAAACGACCATCTTCAGGTATCTTGATGTGTTAAAAATATTTTATTAAATTATGTTAAAACTGCTACACTCTCTTAGCCCATGTTAAAATCACATGCTGTAGTTCTCTTTTCAAGGTAAAACCAGATAAAATCCTATAAAGTTTCTATTATACCCACGTTATTTTGGTGCATTTCGTTTCACCTCACATGGAGTGTCGTCCATTGTTCATAAATGTATGCCTGTCCAGGGTGTTTTGTTTCGGCAGCTTGCCCCTCACGTTCATAGTCTACTTTTCAGTTATGACTGCCATATGCCCCTGGTTTGCGTGTTTCCTCCACAGCGTGTGGTGTTGTCTTTACTACATTTACTGCTATATTCATGTATTGTGACGTGGATGGCGCAACGGGAAGTAGGGGTCACGTGAACTCTGTGGTCTCGCGAGTGACGTGACATACCCCTACTCCTTCCATCAGTACGCAACGCTCAGTAAACATCCCCTACCCCGAGGTGTTTTCCATGCCGTGCCGAAGCACGCTGTTTACTACACAGCAGTAAACAACTCTCGACAGCGTTGCCCAGCAACACCTGCCACTGTAGCACGGCGGGACACCTTCCTGCAGGTGGCGGCCAACTTCATCCGGGATGCACAAATTTCTCGGGTTAGTTCCAGTGGCTCTCCACGTCGCCCTGCAGCTTGCTTCTTGCCCCTATATCGCTTCTTCCGTCCTTTGATCAGTTTCACTACGGCATCTTCGTAGGAGACTTCTCGTTGTTGGGCCACCTCAGGTTTCCTGTCCATTGAGGTTGGCTGTTCTTCTTCCACTCCATCTCTTGGCAGGCCATCGTCTCTTTTCTGATATTCGTTGTTTCCTCTTCAGGTTCTCTGACCGGTATCACAATGGGGTCCTCTTCTTGTTGTGCCGCCGCAGGTTTCGTGTCCACTGAGGCCGGCTTCTCTTCTTCTAGACGCGCCTCCGGCGCTTCTCGGCAGGCCATAGTTTCTTCCTCTATTTCGGGTTTGGTTTCGGCAACCATCTCCTTGTGGCTGGTGCCCAAATTTTCTCGCATGGCTTTTGTCCTTGCTTTGATCGCTTCCGTTTCTGCTGCAACCTTTTCTCGCCAGGCGGCCATCTCTTTTCGCTAGGCTTTTATATCGGCTTCCATTTCTTCCTTCTCGGTTTCTCTGTCGGCCTTCGTCTCTTCCTTGTCTTCCTTCCTATTGGCCTCCATTCTGTCTTGATTGGTTCGGAACATTTCTTGCATGTGCACTCCGTCTGCATCTGCTTTTACTTGGTTGGCCCTCATCTCTTGTCGGTTTTCCTATCGGCGTCTATTTTCGCCAATAGGCGTTCGAACAATTTTTCCATATCCATCGTGTGACACTACCATTCGTTTCAATAGTTTGTCCTGAGTTAAGGCGTGTTTAAGTTCATAACCAATTCTGACACCAAATGTAACGTGTTTTGCTACTGATGACGCCGTTCGGATTGTTAATTGGTTTATTCAACAACCTACAAATCATAACTACAAATACTTATAACACTGTTATGGGTTTACACACTTTACAACCCTACAAAATAATCTCTTCAGTAGTCTTCATGTATTTACAGTACACGTATTTATAACGCGGGAGCTATACAAGTCTCTCTTAATTACACACTCCCAATATAACTGTACTACAGCACACACACAGTCTTTAAGTCACACAATAAGTCTACACTGGCTGACTTCTCAGTTATCATGCACTATCACAGATTATCACATCAAATCTTCTAACCACGTGTTCGGGTTTTCTTCCTGCGACTGCTGCTATATTTCAACTGCTTTCGGTGGCTGCTACATTTTAACTGACTCCTTAGTCAAAGTCACATTGCGACTGACGGTCAGTCAGTCAGTCAGTAAGTCTTGGTATCGAGCCCCATCTTGTGCTCATGACCAGATATTTATTACTGCTTGACCATTATGGTCTTGTTTACTGGGGCGCCCTCTCTGACGATAGGACCGGTCTGTCTTTTATAAATGCTGCTGGCCCCTGCCAGCGCAGTTTTCCTCAGGTCTGACTCCCTTGGGACCATATTTTGCTGTCTCAGTTTTGAGACTTACCTTTTCGTCGCCTCCTATGACTTGCAGGGTCAGGGTGGAGGTATTCGATCCCGCCTTCACACAGGTTTGTCAGAGATATCCCAAGTCCAAGTCACATTGCGAGTGACGATCCGTCAGTCTGTCTGTCTTGGTGTCGAGCCCCTCTGTCCACTGACTCCTTAGGTAGTGCAGTTCTCTTATAAACCCTCAGCCAGACAACGGAAAATGACTCGCTTCCCTGTTGCCTAGTTTGGGGCCGAAATATGTAGTGTCAAAGTGTATAATGTTAAACTGAAATTAAAATTAAGTAGTGAATAAACAAGTGTTGCATTATTGACGGACGATAAATACATGGACATTAATTTAAACAATTGCAGCAGGATGCTGAAATACAGAATTATAATTTCATATATGTTTACCCATATCAGTGAGATCCATTAAGCAATCTGTTATCTTGCATGCATCACCAGTTCTAACACCTGAAAGTAACCAGTCAGCATATGTAAATTGGTAATAAGTAGTTTCCTAGTTTTTAATATCTAAGCACAACACTATACATTACATACATCACATCTGGGTGTTTCAGAGTATGTTACAAATATGAGGCTTGTTCAACAGAAACACATTTGTGGATTATTCTGGTTGAAGGGACAGAGTCTGTTAATAATGTCACATGCAGAGATGACTATTAGGTGGGGTTTGCATTTCAAGATTGGATTTATTAACACCTCATACACACCACTCAGAACTATAGGCAATTACAGCGCTGCCGCTGATCTACACACTTTACAGTTCACTGTTACAGACACAGTATAGTACCATCTCCACTAGCCATTTACTGGCAATGGATTTTAACACAGGAACTATAACAGTCTCCTATTAATAATGTTATATTTTAGCGTCCTGTTGCACTTGTTCATGTCCATGATGTGTATTTATGCTAACCGTCTTACAGTGCATACTTTTTATTTAATTTCACCTTTCTCTTCACTTTTACACTACATGTTTTAGCACTAATGTGCCATCTTCAGGTGTGTCTCTGTGCATGTCAAACTACTGCACTGCATGCCATGATGTCTTCATTCTAAAATGACTAAAATGTGTATTCATCATGTATAACAATAAATTCTAAATATTAAAACCTTTCAGGATTCGTCATCCATACGTCGTATCTCAAATATGTGAATCACGCCAGTCCTCCTCTATGGGAGCACTCTTCCTACATTCATGTGTGTATTGTGCTCTGTGTTGTGTCTTGCTCCTGTGACTGCGTGCGTTGTACTGCTGGATATATAGAGGAGGATTGGCGTGATTTGCGTATTTGAGATACGACATATGGATGACGAATCCTGAAAGGTTTTAATATTTAGAATTTATTGTTATACATGATGAATACACATTTTAGTCATTTTAGAATGAAGACGTCATGGCTTGCAGTGCAGTAGTTTGACGTGCATAGAGACACACCTGAAGATGGCACATTAGTGCTGAAACATGTAGTGTAAAAGTGAAGAGAAAGGTGAAATTAAATAAAAAGTGCGCACTGTAAGACGGTTAGCATAAATACACATCATGGATATAACAGTCTCACTGAATTACATGTTCCAAATATCACTGTACGTATTATAGCACTCGTAGCACTTATAGTACTCGTATTATAGCACACATAAAGTCTTCCCTTTGCAGCCAGACTTTCAACTCTGCTGGACTGCATTCAGCAATTCTGATGCCTCAGTTCCTCAATTCAACTCATCCTCTCCCAAGCTGATATCGTGGCAGGCTGGCCTTTTGAAACTCAACTAACTCCTTGCCATTTCTTCATCATCTTTGACTGCCATCTCCAGAGACTCAAAGGTAACTTTATGACTGGCAGTGTACCGATAATCCATTCATCTTGGTGCCAGGCCCCTTGAGACAAACGACCAGAGCTTTTTTTTTTCAACTGACCTCTGTCAGTACATGCTTTACATAGCAAATCATGCTTATCTTATGTATCCTATGCTACAAAGGCAGCTTAGTCACTTGATTGGTCATAAACTTGACCACTGCCAAATTCAAGCCTCTTATATTTTCTGTGTCTGTCTGCAACTTTGTCCTATATTGCAAACATGTTCATTCTCATGATTTTGTATGACTTCTGCTTGTCGCCTGCACAGTTTTGTTACATGGTCCAGAGACTTACTCAAATCTATCTCGTTATATAGACTCAGGGCAGCCCCAACAGGAAACACCGTTTCATAACAGTTCAACTGTTGTTATAGAGGTGTGTTTAGCTCGCTGTTTAATAGAAATGATATATCCTCAAGTGCTCTGTACATGTTCATTTCTGCTGGAGCCTGTTTACTGGGTCGTTGCCTATCATTGAACTTCTATTCCGGCTCTGCTATTCTGGCTTCTGGGCGCCATGTCACAATAATATTCACATGAGCACTGAGATAGGTGCCCCACTGATACACAAGTGGATGGATCCCCTCTGCAGAGAGTTTCCTGAACTGCTGCTGAAACCACTACACCAACCACTCTGTTGATGTCATCATTCAACCTGAATATACTGCCTTTAGTGCTCTCCTGAAGGGGCCGAATGCATGGAAATCACATGGTGATGTCTGAGTACCGTGGAGGGATGCTCCAACACCTTCCAGCATATGGAGCACAGCATGGTCAGAGTGGCATTTTCATGCAACATGACATTCCTCTGAGCATGTTGGGATGCTATCCCTTGATGATGGACTGGAAGCCTCTGAGTTTCTGTTAACCTTTAAGTGCCGAAGTGCCCAGTTTGTGCCAGTCATGAGTAAGGTCGTCGTGGCCAAAGTACCCAGTTGTGGCCAGTCAGGCATTTAAACTCCGCTAGTGGAAGCGCGCGCACACGCCGCTAGTAGAAGCGCATGCACAGTCCTGAATATTTATTTTTAAATGTAGTAATTACCAGACCGACTTAAGTAAAACCCTAATAGAGGAATTAAAATAATACCTTACTGAACAACAGCAAATAAAAATATACGTATGAGTTATGCCAAAACTTATCCACAATCCAGTAATTTTGTTGCAGATTCTGCAGATAGGTATGTTAAAAATATAGTGTAAAATTCGATGTACATACCTTTTTTGTTGTTACCTTCTTGATGTATATATAGGTTCAAATGAAACTACAGTATTCGATTTCACTACGAACGCACACAAACTGTATCTCAGCCACGATGCAGCTGTCTGTTCATTCAAATAGAAGGGGCAATAAGCTTTTGCAGCCCTAACGGAACATCTTAGCACTGAAGAGGGGACCCCTATAGCTTTCTCTTGAATAGCCATTCTTTCATTCTTCTGACCTTCAGTCAAGTATTCGAAAATCCGAAGGGTGTAAGCAGCGCTAGCAGAAGACCAAATGATTTTATTGCTTCCATCTGTTTTATGACACCAGAGACTGCTAAAATTTGTCAAGTGTTACAAACAGAAATGAAGTTATAATGCAGAACAACTCTGTGAAGAACTGGGAAACCATTTTTGCAGTACGCATCAAAATTAAAACACAAAAAATTGAAAATAGAGTACAACACTTTGTATTAAAAATTTCAAATCTTCCTTTATAATATGCGACACTATGTTCTTTTCTGAAATAAACAAAGTTATTTCCATCCATTTATCATAAAAATTGAGCTAGATAGAGCATTTTTAAACACAACGCTTAAAATTGATTAAGCGCCTAACAGGAACGGACATTTAAACGCAGCGTAGCAACGGGCATTTAAACGCGCACCAGCAGCGGACATTTAAATAAACTCCGGCCAGCTCAAGCTTACCACTATTTCGAAGTCCGGCGTTTAAAGGTTAATAGCATTGTGTACAGATGGAGATATCAGGGTCCTTGAATGCTAGCTGCATCAACATCCTGTTTGGGCAGATTCTGCATACTTAACAGTCCCTCTAATATGACTGTTCTGTTGCACAGCTTATGGTTGATCAGCTGTGTTTGCTAGCGGTGCCACGAATGGGTTCCATCTGAATAGCCCTCATACATAAATGAACTTAAACATTACTTTCTGTACTTTGTATATAACATAAGAACTGGTCTTTTTATTTTGTATGGATGAATAACAGTACAGAAATTCAAAACATTCCAAGAGTATGTAAGATTTGAGGTTTTCACGGTGGTGACTATGAAGAAAGCAGTCTTCTGGGATGTGGCACCGTGTAGATGTGGTGTTAACCGACGTTTTGGAGGAACGTATCGCCTCCATCTTCAAGGTAGAAAGGAAAAATAAGAAAATCTGCAAACGAAGAGAAGGGCAGTTTGCTTGCACTGGTTCTCACTGTCTCTTTGCTTGTGGATTTTCTTATTTTTCCTTCTACCTTGAAGATGGAGGCGATACATTCCTCCGAAACGTCGGCTAACACCACATCTACACGGTGCCACATCCCAGAAGACTGCTTTCTTCATTCCAGGAGTAGCCAACATTTTTCAGATTGACAAGTGAGAGAAGCTTATGATTTATAGTCGGTGCTGTATCAGTCTACGAGAAAAAACATGTGGACTGAAATTATTAGAAATTGAATATGTAAGATTTGAGGTTCTCACATAGGTGATTATGAAGATTACTGTCATCTGTGATGTGAACTGATAAACGGGTATGAATATTTTGAATGAACTTGCCGTATCCGTCTTCAGTGACCCTGAGGCAGCAGGTTTCTTAACCGTTTCTATCAAACCTGTATTCTCCTGACTACACAATGCCACATCCAACAAGACTATATTCTTGATATTGTGGCATGTAGAGCCATTGCTGGGCAACGACCACAAAACAAACAGCAAGACAACTGCTGTTACTAGGTAATGGCCCATAAACAGCTACAGAGGAATGGTTTCTGCGCAATTCATGCCAAGATGTCTTAAGTGGGACAATTTGGGGGTTGAGCTGAGTGGAGTGGAGCAGAATGAATTGGTTGGTGAGCAAGTTAGTTAGTTTGAGAGTTCGGGAATTGGAAGCCTGTTAGTTTGGCTCAGGAACTGCAGTGAGAGATGTGCCAGCAGGGACGTGAAGATGTGAACATGGAAGTTGAGGAATCTAGGGCATTGGAAGCTGTTGCCAGGCAATGACTGGTGAAAAGACAGCAGATTGAGAAGACTTAGTACGTTCTGTAGTGAACTGCGGATTATGTAAATTAGTGATGACACTGAAGTTACTTGTAATTACAATCTGTAAATGTTTAATAAATCCAATTACCAATCCAAACCCCATCTATAGTCACTCCATAAAATCTTGACTATATGTACCATTCCTCAAATAAAAGAAAAATATTGGTACGTTTAGTAGTATAATTTTCTGCACAGTAACCACAAATATTAAATAAACGTTTATAGACTTAAGTTACAGATAAACTAATAACCTTCAAAGCTCTAAATATAGACATAACTTTAAGCCCTATGTCCAATGCTATTAGTTTAGAAGGACTCTTTCTTATCTCTTTATGTACAATGAATACAAAGCCATACCTTTCTTAATGCAGTTTTCAAATATTTGATATGCAAAGCCTGAGAAATTGTGTATAATGGCTCCAAGTGTCCCATTGACAATGTACAGACCACAGCCAGCTTTACACTGAAAATAAATTTTCATATAAACTGTAACAGAATTAACATTCTAAGCAAATGATCTTTCAAATGAATGCAACAGTCAGCAATGTATGCATACCATAATAATTCTACTGTGTTAACTAATTTTTGCTAAATTATCTTGCAAACCCTAAGATGTAATGGTAAAAATGTATGAGACATAGAATTTGTTTTACTTTTCTATTCATGATTTGTTCAAAATACTTTTCCAATGATAAAAACTTAGTGAGTTATGTTAGAGATGTGTGCATACACTCATGTAGGTCTGCATATAAAGTGCTCATTGCTGCCTAAAACAGATGTTGGCAGAATTTTGTAAAACCTCCCGCAATATGGGATTTCTTAAAGATCTGAAAATATGTCAGAGCTCAAATATTTGATGATGACAGTGATGAATCAAAATTACATTCTTGAAGACATTAAGAGCATACTAAATTTGGGAAATGCTTGTTACTGCTTTTGTATGTGGATGTGAAGCTTTGTGTCTTATACAGAGGGATGATCAAAAACGTGAGAGTGTTATAGAACAGAATGCTCATCTGGACCCAAGATGGAGGAAATTGCACAGTCAGAAACTTCGTACATTATACCTTTCACCGAATATTATTATGGTGATGAAATGAGATGAGATGAATGTTGTAAGTAGCACAGATGTGAAAGGTGAGAAATGCATACAAAACTTTTGGCACAAACCTGAAAAGAAAAAGCTGATCATAATGCCTAGATGTTGTTGGGAAGGTACTGTTAAATTCGATCAAAAGGAAATAGGTTGTTGGGTGTCCACTGGATTTGTTTAGCTCAGAACAGGGTCCAGTGACTGATCTTTATGTATGTGGTAATGAACTTTCATGTTCTATAGAAGTTGGGGAAATTGATTAGCTGAGTGACTATTATTATTTGGATTATTGAGTTTCTGGACTTTGTGCATTATCTCATCCAACAGATTCAGTGACCGTGATTAGCTCGTTCTAATTGATGGAACTGAATAGTTGTTTCTTCACCTTTATACTTGAGTATCTAAACAAATTCAGTTTCTGAAAGTGAGTTATTTTAGGATATGAGATGTTGAACAAACTCCAGAAATCAGTAATCCTAAGTGTAATACATTACAAAAATTCCCTCTGTATTCTTTTTACTCTCAGAGGTATATATGAGACAAACTCCGTCTTAAGTGCAACAATTTAATTGTAGTTCTTTCTTCTTCCCTTCCTCCACTCTGTCAGAGGCTTATGTTGAAGTTTTTGTGAAAATTCATTAATCGTCAGGAATGGGGAGTTAGATTTAGAGGTCACCATCGAGCTGAGTTCTCAGGGTATATGAATAGAATTGGTTAGTGCTGTAAATGATGGTGCGAAGATGAAGTGTAGAAGATAAGCCACAATCAGATCAAGTCACTTGTCTCTATTTCATATATTTATTTAGATGGTAGAGGAGCACTGAGGTATGCTAATTACTTGGCACTCTTAACTGATGAAGTTATTGCAAACCATCAGGTTAAATTTAATTCACATTTTATTGGTTGATTCAGAAGAGAAACTAATATGTTTGTCAGACCCCCTCTTGGTAATTATCTTAGTCTTCAGCATGGCAGATGCTCCTTCAGTAACAAAGTTATCGAATGTGGAGTACATGGGAGTCTCAAGCAATTCTGTGCATGAAACATTATATTATCCTTTTTTCTGTGATGTCAAAATTTCAAGAGGTACAATTTCAAATCTGATGGGTTCATGTCCAATGCCACAGTGACTTGGTATAATTTCTCCTTGGAATTTTTAGAACAGTTTGCATTTTGAAGGGCAAGAGGTGGCATGGAACTATGCAAGAATTAAGTCAGAAGAGAATACAAGGCATAAATCCCAAAAGCGAGAAAACCCTAACTAGAGCGGTTCATGGCCTACATTCTGCTTCTAATAAACAGAAATGACACTGTTAAATACAGTTCTATTCCGAGATTTCTCAAATTTCTTTCCGAACAAGTGTAGGGTGTTCATTCTTAAAGAGTGTGGCTTAACTTGGGCTGGAACCAAGAAGGAGCCTCTCAAAAATGCACTGTCCTCTGAATCCTTTAGAACTGAAGAATGATTAATACCTTCTCAGGAAGGAGTTGATTTAATTCTTATGGGAAGGGTTTGAGTGAAGCAGTGTGACTACTAAATTTACAGAAATTTGTAATGAGAGTTGCAGAAGGCCAGAGAAATGATGTATTGTGTAAACATCTTTTCAAGAACTATCAACACTTCTTCTGTCAGTGTATATACATACATAATTATTTCATGAAGTCAAACAAGGGATACTTTTGTGTAGTAACATTTTCAGAAAACATCTCTGTTAACTTCTACTGACTTCGCAAAACTGTTCACGAATATATTTATATTATAAACAACTCTTTGATATCATGATACACAGTTTTAGAAACTATGTGGTAGAGTTTTCTGAAGTGATTTGAGTCCTCATTCCCAGTTCTCTTTACCTTCATGTGAGGGAACTTTAATTTCTTAATTTAAGTGATATTTCTTCTTTGAAGTTGAAGCTACTATATACTGTGATACTGACAGTTTTATTTGTTTATCTGTGCCTTATTTAATGGTGCTGTCAGTAACTCAGAATATGTAATATCAAATGTTTGGGCAGTAATGAGAAATGAATTGGAAAGGATGTGGAATTAAGTCAGTGCAGTTGGTGTCCTGCCCAAAAATTCAAACCTAGTACCTCCTGAATATGAGACATAAACATTACTGCTTAAGGAAATTTTATCAGTAATTCTGACAAGGAAAGCAACCATATCCTTGCCTGTGTTTGACAAAACAGAAGGAACAAAATGATGTGAACTTAGAGGTGACTGGCTTGAATTTAATCTCCAATCCTGAAAGGTTTAATTATGTGACTAAATTAGGATGACATAACATTTTATATGGTACGTTGTCTTTTGTGAACAGTATCTTGAGCTGTGTGCCTGTGCTATGTGTCACATGTTGTAATGTCACTGTTACCAGTATAAAGATTCGGGAGATTTTAGGTCCTCATCAAGGTTATTATGAAGGTTATTGTCTTATGTATTTCAAAAGATAATAATTTTCGGTGTAATCATATGTCTGTACCATGAAGAACAAAGTAACTAGTTTGAAGAAGAAAATAGAACATTCTCAGTCACTAGAAACCATAGAAAAGGATGTGTATTTAACCTGTGAACAAGTGGGTACAAGTACTTTGTAAGATGTAGCAGAAATTTACCTTTAGATCTTGTATATCTCCATCTAAGAGATTGAAAAATGCCTGCACGTGTGAAGTTTCTGTGAAATAAGTAAATTAAAGAATGTTATAATAATGCAATCACTTAAGCAGTTACAGCAATGCATAATGAACTTGTAAATCAGAAACTGTTGCTGGAAAGTTGTTACTGGTGATGGTGAAAAGCAGGAAGTCCTGGGAAGAGTTTATGATGGTTACTGTCACTGTTCACACATGTGTTGTCTGCACAGCCATTCTTGTAGACAACAGACTCTCCACATGAGGACAGGCCATGGGAAGAAAAGATGAGAACATGAAAACAACACATCACATGCAAAACAGTAATGCACATTGGGGAACACGCCTAAAAATCTGGCAACACAAAACAAAATGGACACTACAACATAGAGCAAAAGGAGAGCAATATATATACTCTCTCCTTTTACTTTATATATATATACCTTTTAACACATAACTCAATTACGTAGTTCCAATTACAATATTTTAATATTTTTAAAAATCCAAATATTTATACTTAATATTTCATATTTTTATAACATCAGAGCATTACATATACAACGTACATGTACAATGCACTGCCAATGCGTAAACACTGGCCAGTGTGGGGAGATACGAGTTTAGCAGACAGAAGGAATGGTGACTGTAAAAGTTCTACATACCTGATGATGCTCGCAATAGGCCGAAACATGTAGTACATGCAAAAGTGTGGTTTTTGATACCAGAATTTTGTCGACTGAATAATAATAAACGTTGTCTTACACACAATATGGTGTTAGAATATAATACTTCTAATACAAGTAATGTTGCATAATAAATTTGTAGATGCTTGTGCTCAATCTCTAAACACAGATAAAGTCATATTCATTTTTATAAATGAAGTCTTATATACTTTAATCAATAAAATGCATGCCAGTAGAATATCCTGTGACATTACCAAAGCAATTAACTATTCAAATAATAAAATAATAATATTAAAACTTTTATGGAATTCTAGGTATAGCTGGATGGTGGTTTAAACCACACCTTTATGGCAGGAAGCAACAAGTAGAAATAAACCACCGGATTAAAATTATATAACCTGCTCACACTGTGACATTAATTAACATGGAGTGCCCTAACATTCTGTACTTGGTCCTCATAATTGATCTTACATATATCAACTGTCTGCCTACAACCATGAACTGTACTGTTCAGGCCAGTACTCCTTGATGATGATACTGTCATGTGTATTAGTGAGCTGTAGACAGGGTTTGGATTGGTGGATCGATTTGTTGGATACTCACAAGTCATAACTACAATTAATTATTACACTGTTGCTGATTTACACACCCCAGATAACTCCACGCCAGTCTTCTTAGTCTACTTAGTCTTCATTATCCATTTCCTGGGAATGTATTTATAACACAGGAACTATGAAAGTCTCACTAAATTACACACTCCCAGTATCCTTGTACTACAGCACATGTAAAGTCACACACTATGTCTTCTCAGGCTGACTTCTGATTCTTCTCCAACTACTCCTGTGGCTATATCCTATCAATAACTGCCTGAACTCGGAGTCAAAGTCAAAGTTATGTCATGACTGATGGTCAGTCGGCCAGTCTGTCTTGGAATAAAGCACCCATCTGGGGCTTAAGACCAGATCTACTTGTATATTATTGTATTACAGCTGCCAGCTTGTTGATGTTGGACGCTCTCTCTGATGAGAGGATGGGTCTGCCACAGTCAGCAGTAATAAGTCTGTTGTCAGTATGTAAAATTTACGTTTTACATATTTTAAATATATGCATGGCCGGCGCTTAAGGCTGACAACCTTACTGCCATCTTTGAGCCGATTGTCTAGGTAATGTGGGACCCTCAACGTCTCGCAATCCTATGGGCCTTCATGGCCTGTTACAAGGATAGCTTTACTTTTTTTTTTACTTTATATACACAGTGTGTCCAGGTTCTGTTAGGACTGTGTTCATTAAAAATACAAGACGTGAATTCTTTTAAAAAATTTCACTCTTGATTCAAAATATAGTCTCCTTCTGAATCAATACATAGCTGTAATTGATTGAAAAGTTTTTGAAAACAGTAACTGTACTCCTTTTGTTGAATCANTTCACTGTTTGACCTTCTGGAAGAAATTCCTTGTGAATGATTCTTTTGGAATCGAAGAAAATGGTTGGCAGTGTCTTTACTCAACTCTTTTGCATGCGCACTTTCTTTGGTTTCATCTTCTTTGGGCTCAACCACGCTCCACTCTGCCGCTTTGTGAGAGGCTCATATTGAAACCACTACGTCTCGTCACCAGTAACAATCGATTTTGTAAATTTTATATCACTTGGGGCGACCGTAACATGTCTTTACAGTGTTCCACTCTGGCATATTNACATAGTTACAAGCATACTAGGAACTATATTGATTGATTTATCCAGGAGTACAACTTAACAAACAAACATGATGATGTCCAAATCATGACTCATCGCTCCTAATTTAACACTCCTGAGGATATTTATTTTAATTTGACACTAAATGACTCCTAGACTTCAAAGAACATGGGTATCAACTCATATATCAAGTTATCTTACTTTCAAACATGCATGTGGAGCGTCTTCAATGTCGTCCCTGCTGTCACAAAATACAGGATACCATCGAAAATGTTCGAGCGACTCAAACAATCATCACTGTACACACTTTTCATCATTTTATATGCTTCTCCAGCTCTTTTGCCCAACTTCAAACAAAATTTGGTGTTGGCTCTCTGTTCAAGTGAATGTGTGTGTTGGATAGTAGATCCTGGAAACATTTTCCATTCCTGGTTATTGAGTGATATCATGCACCCCCCACCAAGGGAAGAATGTAATAATTTTCAAGAATTAGGGCCTTGTGGTGCCTATGAGAGTTCCGTGTAGTTTGGTGTTTCAGAAGAATGTACTTAAGAGCCAAAGAGCAAACCGAACAAGCTCCTGCTGGTCACAGAATTCAGTCTCTTAAAATATTTACCCAACTGTGAACAGTATTTTCCATTTTTTATATTTTTATCTTGATTATCCAACACACAAATTAACTCTAACCTGTTTAGCGAGGGTTTACTTTATTGTTTGTGAGTTTGCATTCCTCATTGTACATTTATTGGCCTAAGTTCCAGTCAGCACTATGTACAGCCCATTTCACGGAGGTATGTTTGCCCATTGTTGGTACACCCAGTAGTAGAGACACAGTATACTCCTGATGGTCCATGTTAATGAAGGGAGAAAGATGCGTAAATAATCTTAAAACAGGGATAATCCAAGCTTTGGGTGTGATCACGAGACTATGGTGATTGTTTGATGTAGAAATTCAGAAATATATACACACACACAGTACAGTTTGTTTGATTGTCTTGAAAATGTCTTGTAGAAAATTTGTAGTGAATTTAAAATGTGTGATCCATTTTGCTCTGTAGATTTTGTTCAGAACATTTTTGGCTCTGATAAGTATTCAGTGAATAATATTCTTGACATGCAGAAATGCATGTTGGTCTTTCTTTAAAGTAGTTGGTGAAATTCCCCCTTGATTTATAAGAAAACCAAAATAGTTCACCAGTTATTCATAAAATTCTATATTATCAAATTTCATGGAAGTCCACCCAACAGTTCACGAGTTGTTTCATATATTCAGTCGGATAGAAGCACCGAGGGACTTCAATATGCAGTCCACAGTGTTGCACTCATCAAGAGGGACATCGCTACATTGCAAATTGGATAATCGAGGATATGATGTTATGCTGTAGGAGGAAGTGACTGACATACAGGTCTCACAGTGGAAATAATAGTTTCATCATACAAAAAGGCTAAATGCTGATAGCTGGATTTGTGCATTAAGCTCAGGCCATGATAACATAAGCACAAGAAAGTTTAAAGTCTGATTTTGTGCATCTTAGTAAACCTAGACTTTAGTATTATATGTACTTCATGCTGTATTCCCATTTTGAAAAATATGGCAAAATTTGGCTTTGGTAGGGTACGTGTTAACAACGGATAGATGTGAATCAAAATGGAAGTTACTTATTAAGTCTGAGAGTTAAACCACACTATAATAAATTTCAGTAAAATTCTGTAATTGATTTTGAAGATGATATCTGAGGATGACTGGATATGACTCCATCCTCCCTCATTATAAATTGACTTAATGTATTTTGTGCAAGTAACATACAAACATTTACTCATAACCATATGAACAGTGTTTGAAGAAAATAGAGAAGCGTGTTACCATTTCCAATTAAAGTTTCAATGTTGCATAAGGGCTGCCCTTTTACCTGAAACAGTGATAGAAAAAGAGCATTATGTACTGCCTGAGTATGTCTGTATATGTGTGTGTGTGTGTATTATGCACAAGGGCTATTCGGAAAGTAACTTCTGGTGAGCTGTTAGCAAGACAAGCATTGAAAACAAATTATTAAACACAAAATCTGCTTTGATTTATAGACCCATTGCAAGGCAATAGCTCAGGAAATAAATTATCGCGGAAGGGTATGCGTGCAATGATAGGACGTCTATTGCTAGGCCACGGATCAGCAAACAAGCCTTCACAGCAATAGAGAGGCTGTGTTTTCTTTGTGACCAATGCTGAGGGGTTCTAAAGGAACAAAGGAGGTTATTTGAGAGAGTTGTTGTCGAGGATTGGGTCGAGTTCTGGATATGGCAGTTGAAGGTTATTGAGAGGAAATAGCAGGAAATGAATTAGTCTGTGCAAAGAAGACTTCGTATGTGATTTGAAGTGACAGTGATACTGTTATAAATCTGTTGCCAGGATACGACTAGTGAAGACTGAGAACCCTAGTGCGCGTGTAAAGGTGAACTGTAAAGTGTATAGATTAGTGATAGTACTGCATTGCCAAGTTGTGTGTACAAAGTGCCAATAAATCCTATCATCCAATTCAAAATCTGTCTTATAAGCCATGCGCAAAACCCTGCCACGTGACAGTATGTACATGCTTAAGATACTTCTTAACATAGTCACCGCCAGAATTGAAGAATCTGTCATATCATGGAATAAGGTTTTGTGTGCCCTTATCAAAGAAGTATGCCACTTATGAGCTCAGCCATGTTTTGTATTGCTAAACACTAAAGAAACTGAAGGGCCATTCAGAACAAAAAGCGTGGAATGCTGACATACAGTGTATTGCTCCTCCATGGCAATGTGCGTCTGCATGCTACAGCTTACACACAAGCACTACTGGAGCATTTCAACTGGGAGTTGTTTGACCACCCTTCTTACAGCCCTGATCTTGCTCCCAGTGACTAACACCTGTTTACCCTCCTGAAGAAGTGGTTGGGATCACAGCGCTTCAGCAATAATGAGGAGTTGAAGGAAGGTGTCAAAAATTGGCTGAGCTCACAGGCGGCAGACTTCTTTGACACAGGCATACAAAAACTGATTCCCTGATACGACAAGTGCTTCAATTCCATTAGTGACTATGTTGAGAAGTAGCTTAAGTATGTACATATTTTTTGTATATAATAACGTTATTTTCACATTACTTGTTTTGTTGACAGCTCATTGGATGTTACTTTCTGAATAGTGTTTGTGCGTGCGTGTGTACATTATATATATATATAGTGTGTATATACAGAGTGTAAATATATGTACGTATATGTTACAACGCTCTGTGGTAGACAGATGGGTTCATGGGTTCAATCTGATCATATTTTGTTAATATACCCATGTCCGAAAACACTTTGTTTATGTACTAGGACCACTGAAATGTGAATGAGGACCTTTACCAAGGACGGCATTTTCAACTCCAGAAACAGCCATGTATAGGCTCAGAAGCCACCAACACCACCTCGCCGTCAATGTGTAGGCAGGGATTATCAGTGACCATCTAATCGGCCCTTACCTCTAACCTCTGTGGCTTACTGGTGACTTTATCTGAGCTGCCAGAAGTGGTGTCTTTGGAAGTTCTTCGTGAGATGAGATATCAGCATGATGTCATTCCCGCACACTTCACTAATGTTGTCCGTTAGTATTTGGATGAAAATTTTGGCAACAGATGAATTGGATGTGGAGGCCCAATAACCTGGCCCCCTCACTCCTCTGAGTTGACTCCATGGATTTATTTCTCTGGTGGTACATGCAAAGCCTGGTGTATGAGACTCCAGTGGAGATGCAGCGTGATCTTGTGGCAAGAATTGCAGTAGCAACTGGAACCATCCGGGAAATGCTGGGGATCTTTCAAAGAGTTCAACATGACATGGCCAGGCATTGCACAACATGCAATGAAGTCAGTGGCCGCCATTTTGAGCAACTTTTGTAATGTAAAAAAATGATAACATCCCCCAACACTTATGCATCCTCTAGGAACATTTGTGGCCCTTAGTGTCAAAAGGAAGCGTTTCTGGACATTGGTGTATTAACAAAATATGATCAGATTGAACCTATCTGTCTACCACAGAGCATTGTAACATATTTATTTACACTCTATAAATATTATATATATATATATATATATATATGCAAATATATAAATTAAGCAAACTCATATATATGAAAGTGTTTAATTATAATTTTTAAGAGAATTCCAGCCTTTCATGAACTAACATAAAGCCAGTTGAAATCTTGTTGGGAAAACTGTTACAGTTACCATTATCATTCAATTTAAACTACAGAATCTGTTGAGACAATTTATATGCAAATGTCACGTTTTTGCTTATAAAAATTAATATAAAAATACCTACTATTAATAGCTTTTGAAGTTCAGAAAGTTGGCTACACAATATTGAATTTGATAGGACAACTTTTCGTTGTCTGATACATCAGTATGAGTGAGCCATAATCAGATACTGATGCAGATCATAGTGTCATCATTAGAAAATTATTAAATTCTGTTTTAAAGATAGAGTGGGAGGAAAAATCCTCATAGTGGAGAACAGTTTGAAAACATAGGGCTTTCCTTCATAATGTTGCCTGCCCAAAATGGAAAGCATGTTGAAAGATTTCTGAGACAGAATGAATAGTGTATGATATGGACTTCTTTTGACTAAGGCAGACACCCCAGTACAGATTCAGCATACCTTCTTCTGTGCAGTTACTGCTTCTGTCTTCTGCTCTATCTGTAACTGCTACGTAGCGTACACAGCAACTGTTAGACTTTTATGCAGGAAGCAAGGATACCTCATTTGCCACGATGTCCAGTTATTGCACATATAAAACTGCTTTTGTAAAGTTATTCACACTGCAGATATAACACTTCATGATAAAGATTCATTTTCCTTACTCTTTTTTGTTAAACATTTACCATACTGAAAGGTATTTCAAGTATAAATTTTTGCTTGGATTGGATTTTTGTGTATGGAGCTGTTGTACTTATTTTTTCGTATTGTGAAGTGGATTTTCAGAAATTTGGCGACTTTTAATTTGAACTTGTTCATTATAATTGGCTTGACTGAAAATTAGATTCTTGTGTCAACCTTCAGTGTGGACCCCAGTACAAAAATTAATTTTGATACATTGAATATTTGTGGAGCTTAAACATGAGACAAACGGACAGTTATAATCTCATTGTACATTTATTTCTGTGGAAAGACCACAACAAATTTACCAATTTGTGTGGTAAATTTTATTGCTGTAATTTGCTAATTAGTCACACTGATCTTCTACTTCATCATAAGCAGGTAGGCGCAGTTGGGTACGTACAGGGCAGATAGTATTTAGGTGGACAAAAGGTAAAAATAATAAATTTATTGTTTTTCTGGTAATATTGCAGAAGTTCAACATCTCTCAACACTGAAGCACACTCAGGACATGATCCACTTGTAGTTCAGTACGGCAAACCCTATTTCCTATGATCCAGCTCTTGCAACTCCGTTACAGTTTTCCATATAAATGTTTCCCAAGGAGCTTACCAACCAAAATTTTATACGTATATTTTTCCTCCCATAATCAGTCTAAATGTCCAAAATTAGCTGGATCCTTGGTTTCACTACCTGAATAATACGTAAACAGTGGGCTATATAAATATATATATTCCTGTAGCTCCCACTTGGAGCATAGGGCATCTGTGGAATTCTTTGTTTCACTTTAGTTTATTAATCTTAGACATTCAGCAGGACTTCTTGGATGGGGGATGAGCCTGACACAGACAAACATCCATGCCTTGAGTGGAATTAAAATTCACAATCCTAGTATTTGAGTGGGCGAAGACATTTCATGCTTTAGGCCATGCAGCCACTGTGATCGATGTATAAATATGGCATCTTAAAATATAAAGCAGTTGAGGTTGATAATTTGTTATATATAACTCACCAATATCCATGCGGCAACAAAACACAAACTTAGTATAGTAAGAGAATTCCTCATAGTTCTTCTTTTAACCTAAAAATAAATAAAATTCAAATTCTCAGTGATAACAATAGTCTTGAGGCAATTTAGTACTTAATAGTAGGGCCACATCATAGCTCAAGTGGTTAGTTGCTGGCTTCCCACGACGGCAGCTCGACTTCGATCCCGGGTCGGGTAAAGTGGAATTTGTGGTGGACAAAGTGTCGCTGTGGCAGGTTTTCTCCGAGTACTTCGGTTTCCCCTGCCAATCTTCATTCCACCAAATTCTCCATCATCATAATCACCCGGGGCAGGCTACAATAGGCCAATCAGTAGCCGCCGTGCTGAGTGGACCCAGTTGGACTCCACCCCCCACTAAGCGAATTACTTAATAATAATTAATAACACATTCTTTGCATCTATTAATTCTATATTCAACTCCCATTCACCCCAAATACATAACATATTGTTCATATGCACACTCATATTGTATCAGTATCCATTAAAACAAGTACTCAGGTTATTATATTTCAGCATCCTGTTGCACTGGGGCACCATTTTAAATTGTAAAATATTCTTTCTGTAATACAACAAAGTCAATCCTTTCCTAAAAGACACTAAAATATATTTAATATACCAAAAATGTCTGTTAAATATTTTAAAATATCATTAACTTTTTCTTTGCTGATATGCATACTCCCATAATCCAATGCACCTTTGCTTCCACTGACACCTTCTTCCCCCCTTTTGAATCAAGAAAAAACTATTAATGTTGTCATACCTTTCTTTCAGCAACAGTTCTTTATATTTCTCTTCATACAAAGACGTCCACGTACCACTTATTTGGCATATACTAGACTTCCTTATGAGAATGATGTACGTACCTGGGGTACAAGGTCACTGATAATTGCACACATAGGTTACCTTGACAGGCGGTGTTATCACATTTTCTTGCTTGGGGACTGAGTTCCTATGATAGAGACCTTTACTTGTCCCGCATCATAACACTTTTAAAAGAGAACACATATCAGTAATATACTACCTAAAAATTGGAGTCTGGCAGATCACTTTGTTAATTATTTAACATGTAGTGTCCTAAAACACTTACATTTACTGTTTCTAGGTTCTTGGACTCATACGCATTGTTTTTGTGATCTTCAGAACACCTTTCTTTACCACAAATGCACGAAAATATATTCATTGTTGTCATTGCCCTTGTGCTTTTCTTATGGGGAGAAAGAATGGGAAAAGAAATTGATTTGGCTCTGAATCCAGGCATAGGTAGCAGTAAAATTAACTCATTTTCTGAGTTTTCCTTTTTAAGTAAGCAACAATTATATTTACACTTATCTGCTATCATTGTTAGCTTCAGAGATACTTCAAAGATAGAAAGCATGACATACAGACATTGGGAATTGTATTGTGACATGTAGACCCATTGCAGGGGAATGACTTGTTAAACAAGTCCACAATAAATACATAAATACACGACTAGCAACAGAGTGGACCCATTGCTAGGCAATGCCTGCAATACACGCACTCAACAATAGAATGGGTGTTGCAAGAGGTGTTTTCTATGTGGGTCTGCATATACCCGTTGCTAAGCAACGACTCAGCATGTTCCAGCAAATACAGAACAATGTGGGACATTTATTGCTAGGAAACGGATTTGTTTTCTGTGCTGTGGCGTGACCCAAAGCGATATAATGATCAGCCAGCAATAACTGATAGTTCTCGCGATTTATACATGGCTTTCAAACTTCCGTACATATATGACTATATAAACAATTTATGCAGGCAACAAGCAGAAGTCATACAAAATCACGATAACAAAAATGTTCACAATATTGGACAAGGCGAAGTCCTACATAGAAAGTATAAGAGGCTTACACTTGGCTTCAGTCAAGCATATGACCGTTCAACTGGCTAGACTGCCATTGTAGCAGAAGATACTAGAAATTGGGCATAATCTGCTATACTGAGCCTGGACTGACAGAGGCCCTGTATATATTGTATATACATTTTTGACATGTTTAACATGTAAAATGTAAAAATCTTTTACATTTTGACAAATGACTTACTACTGCAAACAGTGACTCTGACAAAAGACAGACCCGTCCTCTCGTCAGAGAGGGCGCCCCACAATAAGAAGACCATAACTGTCAAACAGTAATAAATATCTAGTCATGAGCCCAAGAATGGGCTAGATACAAAGACTGACTGACTAACTGACTGACTGACCGTCAGTGGCAATGTGACTTGACTTTGACATTGACTTGAACTGATAGATCAGATGGAAGTCAGAATAGTTGCAGTGGAGTGTCCAATCAGAAGAAAATGAACTCTGTCAAGAATTGAGTTGTAGGTCAGCCTGTGAAGAGAAGACTTAACATGTGAAAAGAAGACTTTCTGTGTGCTGTAGTTATAGTGAGACTATTATAAATCCGTTGCCAAGATATGACTAGTGAAGACCAAGAAGACTTAGCGTGTCCTAGCGATTTTTGAAGTGGAGGATTGGCGATGATGATGTAATTTATTTTGATTGTGAGTGATTGTATCAGGAGTGATCAGTAAATCCAGTGACTAATCCACACCCATACATGTGACAGTATGTACAGATATTTCACTGATTATGTTCGTGTAGTAGTTAGTACTGTTTCTTGTTTGGGAGGTATCAGGTTTAAATCCTGGTCCACTGATTGACTATGCAGGCTAAGACATATGGGTTTCCTGAGTACCTCTAGAATTTGGAGACTATGACTAGGCTAGTACAAGGAAGAGTCGGCAAATGGGTCACAAATGGAAATAAAACAGCTGTAATGGACATACTAGGTTTTCTATGTGTATCACTAGGTAGCAACACAGTCCATCTTCATGACAGTCTAGGTAGCAGATGCATATGCGCATATTCAGAGGCTGATTTCAGTAGTCAAAATGGTCACCATGCTTGAGATGTGTACTACAGAAGAGCAGCGCTCTGTTGTGTGATTTTTTTTTGGACTGAGTGCAAAGGATATTAATAAAGAAATGTTTTTTGTTTATGGCGGGTAGTATTTGTCACATAAAGCTGTTCATAACTGAATGGTAAACGTTTCACCTATGACAAAGAGGTTGAAATGGAGGTGCAGAATTGGCTGAGACAACAGTGAAAAGTCTTCTGTGCTGCGGGTTTTGAGGCATGGTAAAGCGATGGGAAAAGTGTAACAGTGTTGGTGGAATAAGGTAAAGGTAAAGCTGTTTCTGTAACAGGTCATGAAAGCCCATAAGGTTGTGAGGCTCCCACATCTTTTAGACGATAGGCTCACAGATGGAGGTAAGGTTGTCAGCCTTACGCACCAGACGCCCTTTACCCCCCAGGAAAATTCCTGATACTTATTTCTGTTAGAGGCCGAGTCGACCCTAGGGCCATAGTGCCGCAGGAAGGATTGGGTCAATTGAAAAAATCAGTGACCTAATTGGGATTTCAACCCACGACCTTCTGGCTTGAAGCATAGTGCGTGGATCAACTACGCTACCACATGCCATCATTGGTGGAGGATATGTCGAGAAATAAATGTTTTCCCCAGGTTCAAATATCACGTGTTTTATGTTTTCTAATCATTTGTGACCTATTTACTGATCCTCCCTTGTACTTTAAAATATGCAATGACTGCTTCCTTCCATATCCTTTCCAGTTCACGATTTGCAACTATCATTCTCTTTGACGTAAAAGCCATGTACTTGAAGAGTGTCACTGAATAAACTTATGCTCAGTAATTCTGTATACATTTTTTTTGAGAACTGAGTAATGCCATGAAAAATCTATCAGGATTCTGTCCCCTCTCCAAGGTTCAGCCCAGGACCATAATAGATGGGAACAAATAAAGACTAAAGAGGAAATTCTGATATAATTCCATGCACTTGGCATTTCACGCACGGTAGTAATCATATGAAGCACCAGTTTTAATGTTCAGGAACCGATAATTTTACACACAAAATGGTGTTTTATTCCATTCTCTCAGAATAAACAACAGTTATTTCCATAAACAAGAGTGACATGTTGGGCTTTAAAATGGATATGCAGTATGTTTTCTCAAAGGTGTGAACTGAATTTTATATATTATTTAGATGAATTTGAGGCAGAATTTTGAATTTTTGGCAGATCCTAATGCCATTATAAATCTGAAAATTATTTCCAGTAAAATAAGTCATGCCATAAATTGGAAGTTAGACACTGGACTGGAGGAGTCTTTTCTCCGGATATCATCGGTTTGCCCTTGCAAATCATCATTCACCATTGCTCCATGATCTTCTGTCACTCCCCCTTGTAACATGCGATAGCCTTGACCATGCAGTACAACTTCATCTTCTCAATCTTTAAATCTGGAACTTCATCATTTCATTTGTGACCCAGCATTTGGCTGGTTAGAGTGCTTAAACAGTAATAATGAACTTAAGTTCTCATAAGGGAATTTAGGAAATTATATATTTTTAATGTTATATTTTAGCATCCTGTTGCACTGATTTAAGTCCATGATTTATTTAATCCGTCTTGCAGTGCATACACTCATTTATCTTCTTCTCTCCCTCGCACTACATGTTTCGGCATAATAATGCCATCTTCAGGTGCTTACTTATCCACGTCAAACCAGTTCATTGCATGCCATGTTCACACATTAAAATAACTAAAATATGTATCTATCATATACATTGTCAAACGTTAAAAATATTAAAATTGTTCAGGATACCACATCGCTACGTCGCCCCTCACTACGTCAGTCACGCCCATTCTCCTTTGTTGGAGCACTCCTTCACTATCTTGTGTGTTGTGCTTTTGTTGTGTCGTGCTCCTGCGACTGCGTGTGTTATACTGTTGGGCTTCCTGGGTATGTGTGTGGTGGATAAGTAAGCACCTGAAGATGGCATTATTATGCCGAAACATGTAGTGCGAGGGAGAGAAGAAGATAAATGAGTGTATGCACTGCAAGACGGATTAAATAAATCATGGACCTATATATTTTTTCTACATCTGGAATGGCTCCGGGGCCCAACTTACTTCATGTGCAGTTATATTTATTGTAATTTCAAATTGTTGCTGGAAAGGAATCTCATTCCAGAGGATATGGCAAATTCTTAGAAAAATTACTAATGGCAGTTAATAAGTAACCAGAGGTTAACTGCATATAAACATAATACACATATAGTTAAGAAAACTTTCATGTCGTTAGTTCCCAGTTTTTTGTTCATCCGCCTCTTATCTTAAACTGGTTTTTGTTCTTATCACATGACTGCAAAACCATAAGTTTGTGGACATATACTGATAAGTGATAACAGTGTAGTGGATGGTTTATATCATATTAAAACTGTAACTTAAGCATTAACTATAGAAATATAGAAGAAATGTATTTTTATTCCTAAAGAAGAAATTCTGGGAAGAGGAAGAACTAATCACCTACTTTACTTGCAATATGGACTGCATAGAAAACACTTCACCCAAAATTTTTACATTGTTGCATGTGTATTCACTGCCGTGGGAATGAGTTTACCAAGCCATTGCCTTGGAACGGCCGCTTCTTCTGGCTCCACTATTGCGGCTTTCAAGCATCATACCACATTGCAATCAAAATATGTTTGGGAGGGACATAGAGACAGGAAGGTGGTCTCATAAAGCTCCTTTTAGAAGTATTTCTTCAAAAGAAGAAAAGTAATATAAAGAGACAGTACTAGTGGTGTGTCTTAGCCCTCTCATTTATATGGGACCACTGGGGTGCACGCGGCAATGTAGTTGGTTGAGGCAATATGCTACAAGTCAGAAGATCGCAGGATCGAATCCAGATGAGGTGGATTTTTTCAATTTACATAATCCTTCCATTGAACGGACAGAGCATCCCCTTCGTGATTG